TCAGCAGGGAGAGAGAGAGAGAGACACCTGGGAAGAGGACGAGCTGCAGAAGAAGAGACCAAATGAAGGTCTTGATTTCCTCTTTTGTTTTTATCGTCTTGTAAGAAACGTTCCTTTAGGAGGTCCACGGGCGGGCAGGAAGTGTTATTTTCTCATGTTGTGTAATATCCTCGAACACATCACTGCTCTCTCTCACAGCACGTCTGACCCACTTCCACAAACTCTTCATTAAGAGCAACAAGCAGCAGCATCCTTTTAATAAACACCACCGTTAATGAAATGAAAATCCCATCTCTTGGTGTTATCTTTAGCGTTAGCTCGTTGTGATAAAAAACAACAACAACAAACAGCAGCCAATGAGAGTGTCACAGAGATGTTTGGCCGGCCCTCGCTCTCCCCCTCACATCCTGTTTGAACAGGAGATGGCTTCAGATTGTTGGAAAAGACAAACACATTTTTGTTTCTGCTGCAACTCCAAATATTTTCCACAAATTCTTCATTTGCAAGAGAATGCATTTTGTTCCTGTGTGGTACGAAGCATTCGATGGAGAGTCTTTCATTTGTTATTCTCTGAAACCCAGGAGAGCAACGTCTGTGCACAAATGTGTTAAATCTTCATTGGATTAATGCACTTCCTGCCTGGAGAGTCAGTGGAGGTTCAGCTGTTTGTCAGCGGGGGTTTCTTAATTACGACATGCGAGGAAGCGGGTCGGAAAAAGCCCCCCGAGGGTTTGAGATACGCTGATGTGAAGCCCGGCTGTCAGAGCAGCAGAGTGGACCGGGCTATTAAGGTTACTGTGATTCAGGAAATATCCTCAACCCTGAACATCCTGTTCTCATAGCGTCCCCCTCCTCCTCCTCTGACTCCTCGCTCCTGCTTGATGATCGTTCTCTACCTCGCAGGGTTTGATTTATTGTTCATGTCACATGTCGGCCTCTGATGTCTCTGGTGCTTCTGTTTGTATAAATGTGCTCCATTCTCTAACTTACATAAGTATGTTCTAAACACCCTTAATGTGCTCACCTGACCTCCCTTTCATTCTCGTATCCACACACACACACACACACACACACACACACACACACACACACACACACACACACACACACTCACTCTGCCTCATTCTCTCGACTGTTTTCAGCTGTATGTTAAAGAAGCATAAATAACATGAAATGTTTCACTCCATATTCTGGTTTCACATCAGGTGACAATTTCAGAGTTCAAACTCAGGCCTGTGCACCTCCATCCTCTGTACCTCCATCCTCTGTACCTCCACCCTCTGTACCTCCATCCTCTGCACCTCCACCCTCTGCACCTCCACCCTCTGCACCTCCATCCTCTGTACCTCCACCCTCTGTACCTCCACCCTCTGCACCTCCACCCTCTGCACCTCCACCCTCTGTACCTCCACCCTCTGTACCTCCATCCTCTGCACCTCTGCACCTCCATCCTCTGCACCTCCACCCTCTGTACCTCCACCCTCTGCACCTCCATCCTCTGTACCTCCATCCTCTGAACCTCCACCCTCTGTACCTCCATCCTCTGTACCTCCATCCTCTTCACCTCCATCCTCTGTACCTCCATCCTCTGTACCTCCACCCTCTGTACCTCCATCCTCTGTACCTCCATCCTCTGTACCTCCATCCTCTGCACCTCCACCCTCTGTACCTCCATCCTCTGTACCTCCATCCTCTGTACCTCCATCCTCTGTACCTCCATCCTCTGTACCTCCATCCTCTTCACCTCCATCCTCTGTACCTCCATCCTCTGTACCTCCATCCTCTGTACTCCACCCTCTGTACCTCCATCCTCTGTACCTCCATCCTCTGTACTCCACCCTCTGTACTTCTACCCTCTGTACCTCCATCCTCTGTACCTCTACCCTCTGTACCTCCATCCTCTGTACCTCCATCCTCTGTACCTCCATCCTCTGTACCTCCACCCTCTGTACCTCCATCCTCTGTACCTCCACCCTCTGCACCTCCATCCTCTGTACCTCCATCCTCTGTACCTCCATCCTCTGTACCTCTACCCTCTGTACTTCTACCCTCTGTACCTCCACCCTCTGCACCTCCACCCTCTGCACCTCCACCCTCTGCACCTCCACCCTCTGTACCTCCACCCTCTGCACCTCCACCCTCTGCACCTCCATCCTCTGCACCTCCACCCTCTGCACCTCCACCCTCTGCACCTCCACCCTCTGTACCTCCATCCTCTGCACCTCCACCCTCTGCACCTCCACCCTCTGCACCTCCACCCTCTGCACCTCCACCCTCTGTACCTCCACCCTCTGCACCTCCACCCTCTGTACCTCCACCCTCTGTACCTCCACCCTCTGCACCTCCACCCTCTGTACCTCCATCCTCTGCACCTCCACCCTCTGCACCTCCACCCTCTGTACCTCCACCCTCTGCACCTCCACCCTCTGCACCTCCACCCTCTGCACCTCCACCCTCTGTACCTCCACCCTCTGTACCTCTACCCTCTGCACCTCCATCCTCTGTACCTCTACCCTCTGTACCTCCACCCTCTGCACCTCCACCCTCTGCACCTCCACCCTCTGCACCTCCATCCTCTGTACCTCCACCCTCTGTACCTCCACCCTCTGTACCTCCACCCTCTGCACCTCCACCCTCTGTACCTCCACCCTCTGTACCTCCACCCTCTGCACCTCCACCCTCTGTACCTCCACCCTCTGTACCTCCATCCTCTGCACCTCCATCCTCTGTACCTCCACCCTCTGTACCTCCACCCTCTGTACCTCCACCCTCTGCACCTCCACCCTCTGTACCTCCACCCTCTGCACCTCCATCCTCTGTACCTCCATCCTCTGTACCTCCACCCTCTGCACCTCCACCCTCTGTACCTCCATCCTCTGTACCTCCATCCTCTGTACCTCCATCCTCTGTACCTCCACCCTCTGTACCTCCATCCTCTGTACCTCCACCCTCTGTACCTCCATCCTCTGCACCTCCATCCTCTGTACCTCCATCCTCTGCACCTCAGTGCAGTCATAAAGACAAACTTTTTCAGCTGTGTGTAACTTAGAGGAACAGGCTTTCCTTTTGTCAGCAGCCGCTCGGCCTGCTGGGTAAGACACAAAGCGTCCGAGAGGCGCGTCTGTTCACGTTCATATGGATCCACAAAGTCAGGGAGGGGATCCACAAAGTCAGGGAGGGGATCCACAAAGTCAGGGAGGGGATCCACAAAGTCAGGGAGGGGATCCACATCGCCGAGCCTCACACCTCCTCGAGGAATTAAAAAACATCAGTACAGTCAAACGTCTCAAACGTTCCTCCAGTCCAAATCGTTTATGTTGAGTCTAAGTGTTTAGGACGCCGCGTTCATATCGAGGTTAGGAGAGTTTTTAGCCCCACAGCGGCATGATGCTCTCATTCGCTGTCGCTGCAGGCCTCATTCTGAAAACAGAACACACACACACACACACACACACACACACACACACACACACACACACACACACACACACACACACACATCTGTGGTCTCCCTGTTCTCCGTCCTTCTGTCAGATGAGTCCATATGGCAGCTGTCATGTCGCCTGCTCTCTTTTTATCAGAGTCAGATCACGGCTGCTCTCGTCTCCGCTGTCAGCTGATGTTTTATATTTACAGTGTGACTCTGAATCTGTGTGTGTGTGTGTGTGTGTGTGTGTGTGTGTGTGTATTTATACTATACGTCCCTCAGTAAAGCAGAGTTTCAGGTCTAATTAAGCACTCGGGAAGCCGTGCATGAGCAGCTTCAGGCAAACAGTAAATCATATAAAAATACCTCCTGAGCGGCGAGCTTCCTGTTCATCTTTTCTTTTGTCCTCGACGCTTCAAATCATCAGAACAATAACCTGGAGACGTCAGATATCTGGACGTTGGGCTTAGACTTTTCTCCTGCTGAAAATTGGAGGTTCAAACGTGCCGACGGGGGAGCAACTCATTGGCTGAAACAAAGCGACATAAACAAACCCACTAAGTGGTTCGAGCTGCGTCCCAGAATTCTACTTCCTGTTTTCACCTCCATTAACAGACACACCATGGCGTCCTATTGGTCTGCGGTAACAATCCAACCACTGTGAGATCTGTCTGCTTGGGGCTCACACAGCAGGCGGCTGTGGCTCAGTCGGTAGAGTCGGTCATCTCTTAACCAGAAGGTCTGGGGTTCAATCCCCAGCTCCTCCTCTGATTGGACCTTTGGCGACCTCAAGTTGCTCCCGCTGCTTTTGTCGGCGTGAAGACTCTACCATCAGGGGACCCCCCGCCCAGATCCGGGTACACCTGACCCCCAAAGCCCGGTCCATTTGATCAGTGTGAACATAAACGTACCGAACGCAGGTACGCAGAAAAACCCAAAACCCTTTTGCTGATGTAATAACAAACGTTTGTGTTCTCCTCTTGCAGCGTGGAAACGACATCTGAACCAACGGACGCCAACCCCGCCGCCAGAGAAAAACGGGAAGAAGCCGAGAGAAGGTGGACGGGTTCTTCCAACCACATGGAGCTCCTCAGGGGGATTTCCTCCGCTGCTCTCAAAGCTCCTCGCTGAACTTATTCCTCCCATCTTTTTACAACGTTTTTTTTTTTTACTTCGTCGTTTGGGATCGAGGTCACGAGCGCCGGGCGCCAAACTGACTGAAAAAAAAGAAGCAAAAAAAAATCATCAGGAGAAGAGTTTATTCCTCCAACCCATGACGACCCCCCATGACGACCCCCCGCATGTCATTAAAGTCCGACTCGGCGTTCTGAAGAGGTATTTTTAGAAAACAGAAGAACCGTTAAACGCCGAGTCCATCGCCGCCGCCTTCTTCTTCTTCTTCTTCTTCTTCGCTCTTCAGTGTTTGCAAAGCTGCTCTAGAAGCTGAGAGAGCGTTTTCTCCCGGGGGACGACGATCAGTGCATTAAAGGTTCAAAGTGCTTTATAAACCTCCGGCTTGTTGCTAAGCAGTGGCAACTTGACTGACAGTCACTGCCAACGCCGCCGCTGCCACCGCCGCCGCTGCTTCCACTGTTTCTGCTGCTGCTGCTGCTATCTCACAGGACGTCTCAGTCTGCGCTGTCGACACTTTGCCTATCTTCTTCTTCTTCTTCCAGTCGCTCCTCGTCCTCTTCTGTTTCTTCCACACGTGGCTCCCCGTGACGCCACGCTGAACGCCGCCCCTCCCCCTTTATCACATCCCAGTGACCTCTTTAGCATTCTTCCTTTTTACTCAAAACATGCAATTTAAAACCTTTCACTGTTCGACCGTTTGAAAAGAACGAAGCCATACCGAACACCAGTCATACCGTTTACGTCTCCGCGCAACGAGCAAGTGACGGGGGCGAGTGACGGCGTGCTGTGAAGGCGAGCGCCCCGCGGGTCGTCCTGTTTTCCCCTCGGTGTTGACGGATGAATCCGGACATTTTCATGTCTGTTCTGTGGGCAGAAACTCGCTGCCCCGCTAGAACCGGGCCCAAGCCCTCCTTTGTTCTCTTCTGTTGGGCCAAGCTGAACTCCGAGCAGAGACACTCGCACAAGGGAATCGAACGCACATAGATCCGTCTTTTAAAAACAAAACAAAAAAAACCTGTTTCTGGTTACGCCGTTCTCTCGCTGTCGATCACTTTGTGAATGCCTTGCTCATTTTTCTTACCGATTTGATGCTGCTGAACGTTTGCCATAGCAACGTCTGAGTCCCGCGACTTCTGAGTTTTTGCAAAAACCAAAAGTTCAAGCATACCGACCTTTACCGACTTGTCCTCTAAACTGTGCAAAAGAAAGACAGAGCGTGCTGATTGGTTGGCGTGCGAGCGTGGCGTCGACGGAAACGCAGATTTCCTTCTCAGCTTGAGACCAAATTCAGACCGACTTCCTCTCAGATCGTTTTGCTGAACACAGCTGAGCTCACTGACCACGCGCTCCGAGGCCGACGGCTTTGATTTTTACCTTTCAAAATAAAATCTAAAGTTTGAGTTATATTCCACTACAGAAGTGCCAAACGTTTAAGAAACATTCGACGTCAGCTCATCTGAAGTTTACACGCAGCGCTCGATGTTTACAGATTTTTCCATCGCCGTTTTTCACACGTGAATTGTAACGTTCGTGCCATAAACGACCCCGTGGAACTCTTTAAGGCTTTTATTTTGGAGGGGTCATTATATAACGAGTTTACAGCTTTCTCACGTTCATGTTTACAGAAAATGTCAAATTTAAAAAACTGCCTCGCGTCAAGATTTTAAATTCATGGCCAACGGACTGTAAAGTGCAGACGCACCAAGTTTAAGTCTCGGCCGCCGCCGCCATAAAGACCACCTGATTCTATATATTTATAAGCGTTTGACTTTTAATGACGTTGACGTTGACGTTGTTCCAGGCGGTTTGCACGGCGCCTGAAACACTCTGACGGACCTCAGTGTTTACAGAAGCTGTTCAACGTGAGGGAAATGTTTACGATGAAACGCCAAACTCCTTCATCGGACTGAACACCAGGAGACGCCCGACGCGCCCGTGCAGGATTATTCCCTCAGCCCGGAGCGAAAACTTTTCATACTTTTTTATAATCCAGAAGCAGCCATCTTGGACGCCGATTGTTGACCGCGCTTCACGAGCTGCTCCTGAACTTTGTGATCAAACGATGAAACCTGCAGCTTCAAGAGGGATGTTTCTCCTCGCCCTCGCCCTCCTTCTTTTCCCATCATGCCTCGCTGTTTCCACTGTTACCATCTCCACGGTGCAGCGTGCTGCCATGGATGGCGATGCCAGGACTCTGAGCGGCGGCGGCGGTCGCTCGCCCGCAGCTGGTAAAAAAAGCACCGCCTTGTTCCTCCTGACCGGTTACAAACCTCCTCTGCCGCCGCTGCCTGCCGGGCCCAAGGTGGCGCCGAAAGCAGCCGAGGTGGAGGACGGAGACGATCAGCCGGTCGTGGCAGAGCTCCCTCCTAAGCCCCTCCCCCAGACCATGTTGCCAAGGAACATGACGGCCGACGCCCTGAAGCCCCCGCTCGGAGCGGCCCAGGTGGCGCCCCCTCCCAGACAGCTGGTGGATGTGGACGTTTGCAGGTAAGAAGAAAACACTTCCTGTTGTGGTTGGCGTGTTGTTGTAGTTTGAAATGGAAGTGAAGTGTCCAACATTTCGGGCGGCGTGCGTGCAATGTGTGATGGTGGCGGCAAGAGCAAACTGTTGACCGAACACAAAGTAATGTTCCTGGGCCGATGGTCTTTGAAAACGGGGCCGCCAGTAAATCTGACTTAAAGTTGATATGTGGACGCACGGTGTGAAGGACGCCGACTTTTTTGATGAACAGTCAGGTATTAAAATTGCGTCCTATAGAGCGCCACAGGAAGGAGTCCTAAAACCAGGAAGTAAGTTAGCATTTGAGCGCCATGGGGTCTAACGTCTAAAAGTCAGCAGGGATTTTGAATGTGTTTGTGGTTAGACTCCTGAAATAAGGTCTGTGGTTAACACAAGCTGAAGAGATGTTGGTGTTTTGTTAGACCACATAAACTACGTTAGGTAATACCTCCACTTGTGAAGTTTGAAGTTTTTACTCGTCTTTAAAAAGGCGGTTGCTAACGAGGCTAAATGTGACTACAGTGGTTGTCGGGGACATTAAAGGTCATCACGCCGGACACAGAGGGCGGGAACTCTCTCACTAGTCGGAGATGTCTCCTGTAGGTTTAATCTTTAGGTTCAGGTGAATATTATGTTAGTAAACTATTTATTAAGCTACGTGGATTAGTTTATCGGAGATCGTCTGAAGCATAACGCTAGTGATGTCACAACCATCCCACCGTGGTGTAGTTAGCTTGTAGCATAACGTTAGCTTTTTACTTCTGTCGGCCGCATTAACGCTTCAAACATCATAAAAATGGCGTTCATCTGTGAAGATTATCCTGCTGAACAAAACGCCTACGCTTCAGAAACGTGTTTAACACAGAGATTATTTATTAATGATCCAAAATCCAATGAAAACATCCCAGAGGAGAATTCTCATTAGACCCCATGGTGATGCTACTTCCTGGTTGGCCTACAAAAATACGTCACATGGTTTGTTCTCTATAGACGGACGGTGATTCTGAATGTTTGGACTCTAAAAGCAAATCAAGCAGGTTGATAAACAATAATCAGAAAACAGAAACTCTGAACCTCGGGTGTGTTGTATTAAAGCGAGCTTTGCAGGCGTTGGATTTCCTCCTCGCCTCCTTCACGGCGCAATTTTTTATCTCCATCTGTGAAATGCGTTGATCACAGTGGACGCCATAAAAGCGAGGCGTATCATGATTTCTTTCTCCTCCTGCAGCTCTGATCTCCATCTCACTGGAGATTACATGTTGCCCTGAGAGGCGTCTTGCTGTTGCTAGGAAACGTAATCAGCTCTGAACTGGTTGTGAGCCGGCGAGCTGCAGCAACGTGCAGGCGGTGAGAAGCTGCCCGGCCAGTACAGCCGTGATAAGATTCAAAGAGTTTGACCTCAGGCTGATATAAATGTGAAGGCGTTAATATCTATAACTAGTCATATTTCCCGACATATCAGCGATTCTTAACCTTAAATATTAACGAGGACGTCAGCTGTGATCTGATGGCGACTAACAGCTGATTAAATCTGGTGTCTCTCCAGATGTTCAGCATCCAGTCTGTAGTTTCTTATTAAGGTGGAAGTTTAGAACATTTCCTCCAGAGCAGATCCCTCAAAATAACTCTCAAATAAAATATATTAAAGCATCAATATGTAACTCTGCCCCCTAGTGTTTAAAATGGGTACTGCAGTCTAAATTCTAAACATCATATAGAGCTGTCTCTCCCCCCCTCCTCTCTAGAGTGGATGCTCACTCAGGTCACCATGTGGTGGACTCTGAAGCTTCAGTGTTTATCCAGCTCTGCATGGGTCTGTAAACCTTTCTGTGTTCTAACCTCTCTCCATTTTTCAAAAGCATCTCCAATATTGATCCTAGTTTGAGCACGTTTCTGCTCGTGGAGCTTATTAGAAACATGCAGAGGCTTTTTAGGTCGGGTACAATCACTTCTATCTGAACCACTTCTCTTGACCGCTTCCATCGCTGCAACACCTGTTGACCTGATAACTGCTCTCATATCTGACAAACAGAGGGGCGTCCAAAACGGCCGTGTGGGGGCGTGTCTTAAAAGCGCCTACCTTCTCTGGTCCAAACTGAGGTCCTGTGACAAATGGCCGCCCCACTAAACACTTGACTGTTGATGTGTTTCTTTGCCGTGACCTTTGCCCTCCTCAGGGGTTACTATGACGTCATGGGTCACTTTGACACGACCTTCAACTGCTCCAAAGGCAGCTACATCTACTGCTGCGGCACCTGCCACTACCGCTTCTGCTGCGAGCACCAGAGGAGCCGGCTGGACCAGGAGGCGTGCAACAACTACATCTCCCCCGTCTGGGCCGACCCGCTGGTCCCCCCCACCGTGGCCGTGACCAAGCCCGACCCGGACCTGGAGATGCTGCAGCAGCAGAACAGCAGGTCTGGTGTTAACACTTATTATAAACAAATGGCCGACTGCAGTAGATAAATGTGTAATTCATCGTGTGCTCCCTGTGAACAGCACGGCCTACGTGATCGGAGGAGTCATCTCCTTCACGCTCGTCGTGGCCGTTGGCGTCCGCATCGCCTTCAGCAAGGTGGCTCGCCGACCCCGAAACAGAGACGTCAACATGCCCAGGTGAGAGCACGGTTAACACGTCAGTCAAACAGCAGGGGGCGCTGTCAGGGTGACCACATTCTTAATGAGGGGAAACGCCCCCTGAAGGCTCCGCCTCCACTTCATCGATGTAATAGAATGTAGAGCGGAGGTCGAGTCCACACGTAGGCGGTGTTTTTGTTTTTGTGATGTCACAACATGAATCACAAACTCCGTCTAACATTTTTATCTTCCTCTCTCCTCTCCTTCCTCTCCTCCCTCCTGCTCTCCTCCTTCCTTCCTCTCCTCCCCCCTCTCCTCTCCTCCTTCCTTTCTCTCCTCCCTCCTCTCTCCTCCTCCTTCCTTCCTCTCCTCCCTCCTGCTCTCCTCCTTCCTTCCTCTCCTCCCTCCTCTCTCTCCTCCTTCCTTCCTCTCCTCCCTCCTCCCTCCTCTCCTTCCTTCCTCTCCTCCCTCCTCTCTCTCCTCTTTCTTCTCCTCCCTCCTGCTTCCTCCTTCCTTCCTCTCCTCCCTCCTCTCTCTCCTCCTTCCTTTCTCTCCTCCCTCCTCTCTCTCCTCCTTCCTTCCTCCCCCCCTTCCTCCTGCTCTCCCCATGTCTCCTCCCTTCTGCTCTCCTCCTTCCTTCTCTCCCTCCCTCCTCCTTCCTTCCTCTCCTCCCTCCTCTCTCTCCTCCTTCCTTCTCTCCTCTCTCCTCTCTCTCCTCCTTCCTTCCTCTCCTCCCTCCTGCTCTCCCCCATGTCTCCTCCCTTCTGCTCTCCTCCTTCCTTCCTCTCCTCCCTCTTACTCTCCTCCTTCCTTCCTCTCCTCCCTCCTCTCTCTCCTCCTTCCTTCCTCCTCCTTCCTTCCTCCTCCTTCCTCCCCCCCCCCTCAGATCACTAGTGGACATCTTGCGTCACCAGTCGAGCCCGGTGCAGCAGGGAGAGAGGAACAACATGACCAGCACCACCTCAGACGGACGACCGTCCAAGAACCTTTACACGCCCATCCTGCAGAGCAAAGACAACCGCAGTAAGTGACCACGCCCCCGACAGACACGCCTTTAAGAACAACGCCGTCCTGCAGAGCAAAGACAACCGCAGTAAGTGACCACGCCCCCGACAGACACGCCTTTAAGAACAACGCCGTCCTGCAGAGCAAAGACAACGCAGTAAGTACCACGCCCCGACAGACACGCCTTTAAGAACAACGCCGTCCTGCAGAGCAAAGACAACCGCAGTAAGTGACCACGCCCCGACAGACACAGAACGACGCCGTCCTGCAGAGCAAAGACAACCGCAGTAAGTGACCACGCCCCCGACAGACACGCCTTTAAGAACAACGCCGTCCTGCAGAGCAAAGACAACCGCAGTAAGTGACCACGCCCCGACAGACACGCCTTTAAGAACAACCATCCTGCAGAGCAAAGACAACGCAGTAAGTGACCACGCCCCCGACAGACACGACGCCGCCACGTTGAGGTGCGGCACGTTTACGTTAGAGGGATCGAGAGCTTCAGTCTCTTTCTGTGAAGATTCTTCAAGCTCACACGTTTTATTCTTCTTTTTAAATACCTGTCGAGGTCAGAGTCACGACCTCGCTGTCGCTAAACGATGCTAACAATGGTCAAGGTTTCTGATTGGACAAAATCCGTGCTGTGACTTACAGAACGGCAACAACCCTCATGACGAGCGAGCTGATGAATGAAACAGCGTTTTGTCTCAGACTCAGCGGGATAATCGGACGATTTGAGGTCCGATTCTTCCCTGTCGCTCGCGTGTGAGTCGTATAAAGAGCGCTGTCCGCGAGGTCGTGAGGCGTCCCGGACGTTTCCTTCATTGGTTGGCGCTCATCTGAGTTACTACACGGGGTTAATCGACGAGTCCTGAATCAGTAGGACCGCTGGATCGAGCTTCTATCATGCAGTCTGACCTCGCCGCGGTCTCTCCTGGAGGTGGTCGTAGCGTTGACGATGGCCGTGGTCACGGTCACATGATCAGAGCAAACATGTCTCCGCAGAAAACAGAAACTGTGAGCGGAGGTTATCCGCTGGTCGATGTTTGTTTGTTAAATCTGTAAAAACACACCTCTCTCTCTCTTCACTGTCCTGTCACTCGATCGCCCCTCTCTCTCTCTCTCTTCACTGTCCTGTCCCTCGATCGCCCCTCTCTCTCTTCACTGTCCTGTCACTCGATCGCCCCTCTCTCTCTCTCTCTTCACTGTCCTGTCCCTCGATCCCTCTCTCTCTCTCTCTGCCACTGTCCTGTCACTCGATCGCCCCTCTCTCTCTCTCTCTTCACTGTCCTGTCCTCGATCGCCCCTCTCTCTCTCTCTCTCACTGTCCTGTCCCTCGATCGCCCCTCTCTCTCTGTCTCTTCACTATCCTGTCCCTCGATCGCCCCTCTCTCTCTGTCTCTTCACTGTCCTGTCCCTCGATCGCCCCTCTCTCTCTCTCTCTTCACTGTCCTGTCCCTCGATCGCCCTCTCTCTCTCTCTCTTCACTGTCCTGTCCCTCGATCGCCCTCTCTCTCTCTCTCTTCACTGTCCTGTCTCGATCGCCCCTCTCTCTCTCTCTCTCTTCACTGTCCCCTCGATCGCCCCTCTCTCTCTCTCTTCACTGTCCTGTCACTCGATCGCCCCTCTCTCTCTCTCTCCACTGTCTGTCCCTCGATGCCCTCTCTCTCTCTCTCTTCACTGTCCTGTCCCTCGATCGCCCCTCTCTCTCTCTCTCTTCACTGTCCTGTCACTCGATCGCCCCTCTCTCTCTCTCTCTTCACTGTCCTGTCACTCGATCGCCCCTCTCTCTCTCTCTCTTCACTGTCCTGTCCCTCGATCCCTCTCTCTCTTCACTGTCCTGTCCCTCGATCGCCCCTCTCTCTCTCTCTCTCACTGTCCTGTCACTCGATCGCCCTTTCTCTTCACTGTCCTGTCCCTCGATCGCCTCTCTCTCTTCACTGTCCTGTCCTCGATCCCCCTCTCTCTCGCTCTTCACTGTCCTCTCCCTCGATCCCCTCTCTCTCTGTCTCTTCACTGTCCTGTCCTCGATCGCCCTCTCTCTCTCGCTTTCACTATCCTGTCCCTCGATCGCCCTCTCTCTCTCTCTCTTCACTGTCCTGTCCCTCGATCGCTCCTCTCTCTTCACTGTCCTGTCCTCGATCCCCCTTTCTCTCTCTCTGTCTCTTCACTGTCCTGTCCTCTCTTCTCCCTCCTCCTCTCTCCTCTCTCTCTCTCTCTCGCCCCCACTCTCTCTCTCTCTCTCCTCTCTCTCTCTCTCTCTCCCCCCCCCTCTCTCTCTCTCTCTCTTCTGCCCCCACTCTCTCTCTCTCTCTCTCCTCTCTCTCTCTCTCTCTCTGCCCCACTCTCTCTCTCTCTCTCTCTCCTCTCTCTCTCTCTCTCTCTCTGCCCCCCCTCTCTCTCTCTCTCTCTGCCCCCCCTCTCCCTCTCTCCCCCCTCTCTCTTTCCTGACACATATGCTTACTCGACACGGCGCTCTGTGTCTCAGGAGTGTTTTTTTTTTGTCCATCAGTTTGTCGGCTCTCTCTCTTTGCAGCGGGGAACTTGCATCACCATTTTAACCAGCAGGTCTCAGCGTCCAGCCCCAAACACTCTGCACATCGGTAAGCCTGAGGGGGGTCGGCAGCTCAGGAT